TCACTGTTTCTCCTGTATTTTCTACTGGTAATTTCATAGTTTCAGGTCTTACATTTGAGTGTTTAATCTATTTTGAGTTGACTTTTGAAACTGGTGAGAGATAGGTGTCTAGTTGAATTCTTCTGCATGTGGATATACAATTTACCCAATATCATTTATTGGAAAGATCATCTTTTTCCCTAGTGGATGTTCTTAGCAGCTTTGGCAAAAATCATTTGGCTATAGCTTTGTGGATTTATTTATAGAGTATTCTGTATTCTATTCCTTTGGTCTGTGTATCTGTTTTTTATGCCAAACTATGCTGTTTTGATTACTGTTGCTTTACTACAATATATTTTCAAATCAGGTAGTATAATGCCTCCTGCTTTGTTCTTTTTACTCAAGATTGCTTTGGTCTTTGTGTGTGTGTTTCCATACAAATTTTAGGATTATTTTTTCTAGTTCTGTGAAGAATATCACTGGTATGTTGATAGGTATTCCAAATACTTTTTTTCTTTTTCAGAATACCTTTATTTTGTTTATTTTTATGTGGTGCTGAGGGGCAAACCCAGGTCCTTGCATGTACTAGGCCAGCGCTCTGCCGCTAAGCCCCAGCCCCAGCCCCTCAAATACTTTTTTAAAAATATTTTTTAGTTGTTGATGGACTATTTATTTATTTATTTGTCTATTTATTTGCAGTGCTAAGGGTCAAACTCAGTGCCTCACACATGCTAGGCAAGTGGTCTACCACTGAGCTACAACCCCAGCACCCCAAAGACTGTTTTCTAATACTATTCTTCAACAAAAGAACTAGGGCTCCTTGGAGAAAAGGCTGATTCTAGGCCTGGATTAAGGGATATACAAGATAACTTGGAGCATCTTATAGTACTAAAAAATAAAGAAGAGCTCAAAAGAAAAGAATATTGATGGTGTTAAAGGGACATAGGAGCCGCTGGAAGCACTATCAGTGGCCAAAACTGAAAATGTTTGAGCAGGACAATAAATAACAGTGTGAGATTATCTCATTTGGACTAAAATAAATAACTTAAGAGTCCATAGTGATACAAATCTACTATTGATTAAATGAAAGAAAAGAAATGAATTTCCCCTACTAGAAAAAAAAAAAAAAAACCTTCCATATAATTTGTATAGATATTCCTGCTTTAAGGAAGTAGAGCCTAACTGCTCACTACTAAAGTGTGAACTATGTTTAGCATTTTGGTTCCACAGACTACAGAGGATAAGGTGTGGAGAAGAGCAAATTTACAATTGAGAACCCTACAGACACTGCCTTGATCAAGTGATCAAGATTATTAGTGCGGGGGTTGGGGCTTTACCTCAGTGGCAGAGCACTTGCCTAGCATGTGCAAGGCCCTGAGTTCAGGTCTCAGCCCTAAAAAAAAAAAAAAAAAAAGAGAGAGAGAGAGAGATAATTAGTGGGCTGGGGATATAGCTCAGTGGTAGGTAGAGCTCTTGCCTAGCATGTGTGCAGCCTAGGTTCAACCCCCAGCAACACACATATACAAAGAAAAGGATTATCATCAGTGATCCTTATATATATATATTATCCCTGGTAGGATATGGTGAGAAGAGTACTTCATTTCTGTGTTATTCTCCTTCAAACCCATAGCCCTAGTCAAATTATGAAAAAAGCAGGCAATACCAGTTGAGGAACATCCTTCAGAACATCTGAGCAGTATTCCCCCAAAACTGCCCAGGTCATCAAAAACAAGTTCAGTATACCTGGGCACAGTGGTATACACTTGTAATACCAGCTATAGGGGAGGCTACAGGAGGATCACAAGTTGGAGGCCAGCCTGGACAACTTAGCAAGACCCTGTCTCGAAAAATAAAAAGGACTGGGGATGTAGCTCAGTGGTAAAAAACCCCTGGGTTCAGTTCCCAGTATCAAAAAAAATTATGCAGTTAGTTGAAATCCATCCAATATGTTTAAATCCACGAGTTCATAATTTAAACAAAAAATGATTGTTCAGATTTAGAGGCTGATAGGGAACCCATTTACTTTCTCCAGTTGTGGGAGATGAAAGAAGTATTTTTCTTTCCTACTGGGTAACTACATAGTAATAAATGAGGGAAAGTCTCTTTAAAAAAATTCCAGCCAGGGCTGGGGATGTGGCTCAAGCGGTAGCGTGCTCGTCTGGCGTGCGTGCGGCCCGGGTTCGATCCTCAGCACCACATACAAACAACGATGTTGTGTCCGCCGATAACTAAAAAATAAATATTAAAAAAAAATTCT